CCACCCGCGCCTCCCCCCCCCCCAGCAGACCAGGGAGACCCGAGCAAAGCCGCACAGGCGGAGGGACCCCGCCGCCTGTGTGGCTTTGCTCCTTTGCCCCCAAGCAAACGCCCCTGGGCAGCTTTGCTCCCGGGCAAACGAGCAAAGCCGCCCAGGCGGCGGCTTTGCTCGGGTGTCCCTGGTCTGCTGGGGGGGTCCAGCGACTTTGCTGGACCCCCCCCAGCAGACCAGGGAGATCGGGAGAAGCTTTTCTCGCCCTGGAGGACACGGGTGGCGACCCGCCGCCCGTGAGCTCCGGGGCGAGAAAAGCCCCGTTCGTAAGTGCGGATCCGACATAAGTCGGATCCGTGTAAGTCGGGGACTGCCTGTATGATATTTATTAATTTTTCAAACTCTACAGGAGACTGGGACATGTGGCGAGTTGCTCTGCCATCAATGAGCATGCCCAATTCTACATCTCTTTCAGAGGGTATTGACAGTCCAATTTCCCAAATGTAGTATTGTGTGAAGGGTAGTGGAGTGAAAAGTAGCTTCTTCAAAACTTAGTCTAGGTAAGAGAGAAGTTTTCTGAACTGAATAAATGTGCTTTAATTGGGCCCTCTTAGTCACAAGATTTCTATTCCAGTTTATATATAGCACCTATCTACTATGGCAACAATCACATCAGAAATGTTAGACAGAAATATGATTCAACCCAATGCTGTTTTCTCCATTTTCCAACTGCCCAGAGCAGAGGAAGAGACATATTTGGGCATGTTGGAGCAGCTTTAGCTTGTTCCTTCTGATGTGCTGATTAACAAGGAATTAGGGCTTAGTGTCTAGTCATGCTTCCTCTCTTTTGCCACCTCCTCTTCATTGTTTAAATTACTTGCATTATGCGGCATAAGCTGCTTTTTAGACTGGGCTTGAGGCACAGCCCAGGCCACTCTATACAATAAAAGTTGCATAGTCTCCCCTCCCCCACTTCTTGCAAAGAGCAACTTGACTGTTCTGTCATTTGTACGCAATACAGCAGATGGCATAATAAAGTCCATAGTCTCCAAATTCAATCAACAACGTGTTGACCTAAATAGGAGTTTATGCTTTGGACACGATTGGATAAGAGTCACTTGGCTTTCCAGTTTGCATTGTTCTTATCTTTCTTCTCCTGCAATATATTTAAACAGTGAATTAATTTCTGGTCTTTGTCACTTTCAGGATGTGATTAGGTAACAGGCAAAGGACTGGGACATACCTGTTTCCTAGGCTAGATACCACTCCTGTAAGACAGGAGCAATAAAAGGAAAGTCTACCAACTGTTCAGGTGCACATGTATATACACATGTACAGGAATTTTATTAGCACTGATTTAGACAGTCACATTACTCACACCTGGCACCATGAATTACACAGCATTCTGAATGAATGCTGTTAAGCTTTATATCTCATCATTATTCTGCATATGTCATATGTTATGAACTATTTTAGGGAAAATTTAGAGAAGGCTTTCTTTTTAATTAATTCTTTGTATCCTTTCACCTGTAAAGTCAAATGTCTTAATTAACATGAGTTCAATCACAAAGATTCAGCAGAGGAGCACAATTGAAACACATTAACTAAAATAACTTATACATGACCATCCATTGGTCTGGACATCGCTCAGGCTAGATTTATGTGTTCCACCACACTCAACGTTTTTCTTCTCAACCCCACACCTATCTTCCTTTAAATTAAGAGTCTTTTAGTAGGAACCACAATCTGAACTTAGTTTACACCATCTGAAGATCTCTTTGTAAACTTGAAAGCTTATCTTTCTCACCAACAGAAGTGGGTCCAATACAGGATATTACTTCAGCCACCTTTTCTCTCCATTTGAGAACAACAATAAGATCATTGCCATTCAGAGAGAACATTAAAGTGAGAAATTCCTCTCTCACTTCTGGGAAATTCAGATGAATTGGGAGTTTCTGTTTGAAGGCACCCTAAAATTCTGATGAGTTTAATTTATACTTCTTGTCATGATTATGAGGGTTAGCCAGCAGCCTGGGGATTAAGGGGTTAACTACACCTAGCCAGGTGGAGTGACCAATAGGAAAGTAGGTGGGACTTTTCAAACTGGGACAAAGGAATTTGGGTTTTTTTCTTTGTCCTTTTGTCTCTCTGTGGGAGTTCTCTGCAGCTACAGAGAGGGACAAGCATGTCTCTCTCTCTCTCCAAGACACCATTCTTCATTTTCTGTAAGTAGGGTAAAGTTTAGGCAGTTTCGTTAGGTTTTATTGTTTTAAGGATTGGGTATGGGATCTGAGATCTGGCACTGTTTAAAAGATGTTTTGGCTTTTCTTTGTAACTAAGTTCTAGGCCCATGGAGTTTCTCCATGAGTATATTTTGTTACCTCCCTATCTAGTCATTATGTTTGCAACAGGAATATTGTTGTAATAATAAAGGTTCTTTCTTTTCTTTTTATTAACCTGGCAGTGGTTAATGGTGTGCCCTGATTTTTGTTTTAGGGGTAAGATTTCCCAAATGATCTTTCCCCTGATTTCTTTATCAACATTTGGGTGGTGGCAGCGGAAGTTTTATTCCCAAGATCTAGGTTTTTAAGATCTTGGGGGGAAGTTTTATACCAAAGCCTGGTAGATAAGGCTTTGGGGTACACTTGCTGGCCCCCACTTCTGCATTTATCATGCCAGAGTGGGGAAGGAGCCATGACACTTCTCATTATCACAGAATATGCAGCATGTCCTAGCCCAATTTGCCATTATCACACTTTTCATGCTTTCTCTCAGGAATCTACTATCCGCCTGTTTGAGCCAGCACACCATTCAACTAGTTGGAATGTGCAGGAAAAGGCAAACCTGAATTTCTCTTCTTCCAGGTTGCTCCATAATGTCTGCTCAAGAGATCTAGCCCAGCTGCAATCATAGGCCTGCAATACTAGTCCAGGAGGTCGGCTTAAGGTACGCAACTTCAGCTATGCAAAATGTCTTGGCAGCATCCACACAGTGGGAGGCCAATGGAAGCAAACATTCCAGGTGGCTTCCCTTACTCCTCGCAAAAGGAAGAGTACCAGATGCTGGTGAGGTCTGCCCTCAGCATTAGATTTATGGGTCTATACCAGACCCACTAAATCGAACACTAGAAGCTTGACCTCTGGAGCGTCGCTATTGCGGTAAGTATAGACGTGCTCTTATTATGCATATTGGTAGTTCTCCACAAAGCAGTGCATTAGTGTATGTCTACACTACAGCTTTATTTCAAAATATCTTATTTCAAAATAGTTAATTTTAAATAAGTTATTTCGAAATAACGCATCTACATACAAAATGCATTTCAAAATAGCGTTTTGATATTTTGAAATAGTGTATCCAAAACTGATTGGATGCTGAATCACATTTAAGGTCAGCTGAAACCAGTTCCAGCAGGGCATCAGGTCTTTGTGTGGCTGCTGCCTGAGGCTATCTGAGGCTTGTGCTTAAAGGAACCCCCCTGGACAGCCAGTTCTCAGCTTTCCCTGCTTGCTTGCCTACCTCGCTGAGGGACAGCAAAGCATTTTTATCTCTGTCTGCTTTGGTTGCTCTGACTTGGGCACTCTGGTGCTCATTTTGGATGTGTTGCTGCAAGCCTGGCTGCGCTTTCTGCAGGCTGCCCAACCCCCACGCCATCCTCTGGACCCTCCTGAGGGACAAGGAGAGCAGCTGCAGCTCCCGGATGTTTGCATGCCCCGCTGCATCTGGCGTCTGGACACCAGCAGCGACTGGCGGGACCACATCATCCTGGAGCACTGAGGAGACCAACAGTGGACCCAGAACTTCAGGATGAAGAAGGACACCTTCCTGGAGCTCTGTGAGTGGCTCACCTCTGCTCTGCAGCAGCGGGACATGCACATGAGGCCCGCCATTGCCCTCCAGAAGTGTGTGAAATGCCCAGGAGCCCTGCCATTCCCATCCACAAGTGTGTGGCCATCGCTCTCTGGAAGCTACCAATCTGTAGCAAACCAGTTTGGTGTGGGGAGATCCACTGTCAGAGCAGTGCTCATGCAGGTATGGCAATCTCCAGCCACTGTGCCAGGATTGGGGGTGTGAGAAGGGGATGGACTGCCCCAAGGAAAAGGGGGAGAAGTGGTGCAAGTCCCCTCAACGGAAGGGTCTGGTCTGTCCTACCCACACTATGGGCTGCCCACGGTGGCCAGGATTGCAGGGGAGGTGGCTCCTGGGAGTGGGGGTGCAGGGCAGTGGCAGGGAAGGAGCACTCTCAGCCACCCTGGCACCCTAGTGACTCTCGGTGGTTTTGTGTGTTCCTCTGCAGGTGGTCAAGGCCATCAACAGAGTGCTGCTCCACAGAATCATCCACCTCACTGATGTAGATGCAGTAATCGAGTGGTTTGGCGCCCTGGGTTTCCCCAACTGTGTGTGTGGAGGGGGAAATTGACGGGACGCACATCCCCATCCGTGCCCCAGACCACCAGGCCTCCCTCTACATCAACCGGAAGGGGTACTTCTCGGTCATGCTGCAGGCTGTCTCTGACCACAGGGGCCAGTTTGTGGACATCAATGTGGGCTGGTCCAGCAAAGCACACGACACACAGGTTTACCGCAACTCCTTCATGTGCCAAAGGCTGCACATCGGGACTTTCTTCCCCGACCACCACATCATGTTCAGGAATGTGGACGTGCCTGTGTGCCTGGTGGGGGATGTGGCCTATCCCCTACAACTCTAGCTGATGAAGCCCTACATGGGACACCTCAACCCCTCCCAACAGGCCTTTAATGCCAAGCTCGGCAGGGCCCACATCATGGTGAAGGGGGCGTTCAGCTGGTTGAAAGCCCATTTTTAGATGCCTCCTCACCCGCCTGGACCCATCCGAGTGGAATATTCCACATATGGTGGCAGCATGTTGTGTGCTGCATAATTTGTGCGAGAAGAAGGGGGAGGCTTTCCTGCCGGGCTGAATGGCAGAGGCCGACCACTTGGCTGGCCTGTATGCGCAGCCCCACATAGCTGCTAGCCGGGGGCCCATCGGCGGGCTGTTGGTATCCGGGAGGCCCTGCAGGAAAGCTTCCACCTGAGGAGGACTAAAGTTTCCCGGGTGTGCCTCACTGAGGCCTTGTGCCTCATTTCACCCTCACGTCCTTTCACTGACCCCTCCCTAACCCCCCTTCCCATTAAATAGAGACACATGTGTTGACGAAAACAAACTATGTTTATTGAAGAAAACTGGGGTGGGGTGGGGAGGGAATGAGGGCGGGAGAGGGGAGGCGAGAGGGTGAGAGAGGGGAGGGGTAAACCTGGGAGGAGGGAGCTGGAAGGGAGGAAGGGGGAGGAGAAATTCAGGGTTGAGGGTCTTGCTGGTCCACCTGTCTCCAGCACTGCGGGTGCGGGGGCCTTGGCATCCCCGGGGGAGAGCGGCTATGGAGGGTGGGGCGGGTGGAGGAAGAAGCGGGAGGGGAAGCAGGAGTGGGAGGAGGAATGGAGCTGGGGCTGGAGTGGCAGGAGGCAACAATCTCTGCACCAGGGTCTGCAGGTGGTCAGAGATGGCACTGCCCTGGGCAAGCAGCTCCTGCCAGCTCTCCCACCACAGCTGCAGGTCTTCATGCACCCAGTGGTCGAGGGTGCGGTGCTGGCCTCGCAGGATCCCCAGTGCTGCCGCGGATACTCCTCCTGGATACGGGTCAGCCTGCTGGCCCAGGTGCAGGAGGCTGTCCTGGGCAGGGTGGTGCGCCCTGCACTCGCAGCTGCTGTGGCTGTGGAGAAACAAGAGAAGTGGTCAGTTTTCACTGGGGACGCAGTGGGTGAAGCCCAGCCTGCCTCTGCACGGTGAGGAGGGCAGGTCTCCGCACCATCAGAGCCGACGTGCTTGCACACAGGCGATGTTCGGCATGTCCAGCTATCCCCAGGAGTGTGAGCTGGCCCAGGTCTGCACCTATGCCCCTGTGCTGTATCTAGTGTGGGGGTTGGGGGGAAAGGAGATGTGCCCTGCCTCTGCATAGAGGGGGCTCATGGAGGGAGAGCATTGTGCAGTGTTCCTCCCCGGGGTCAGGAGCATGCCTTCATACATACATGCGTGTGGGTAACAGGCCAGGGTCTTTGTGTGGCAGCCAGCCAGGGCCACATGCCCAGGGTGGCAGGGCACATGCACAGGTTGCTGCGTACTCAGCAAGGCCCACATGCATGGTCCCTGGTCTCCCTCTCCTCCCTCCCCCTGCATAAGGGGACAGTGATGTCACTCATATTTCGAGGCCTCCCCGGCCTCGGATGACACCGGCGACAGGCTTGCTGGGATGGCTCGGGGGTCCTGGGTGCAGGGTATGCTTCCTCCAGGCTCCTGTGGCTCCCAGCTGGCCTCCTCCTCCTCCTCCTCCGTGTCATGGGCAGGGCTCTCTGCCCCAGGGTCTGACCCCCAGGATGTGGTCCAGGGCATCATAATAGGGGCACCTCCTGCGGCTCCTGGCCATCCTCCTCCTCAGTGTCATGGGCAAGGATCTCTGCCCAAGGGTCAATGACCACCTGGGGGGCATGGACTGTCCAACCCCCCAGGATGCAGTCCAGGGCATCATAATAGGGGCAGGGGTCCGGATGATTTTGCAGTGCACCTGCTCTTGGGCAGCCATGCAGCTGTAGACAGCCACATTCCTGTTCCTAGTGTCCCAAATCTCAATGAGGTCCACAATCTCCGCACGAGACCAGGAAGGTGCCTGCCTTTTGCTGCCAGCCTGCTCCTGGGGAGCAGTGGAGGGCTGGGTGCCACTGGGGTGGGGAGCAGTGGAGGGCTGGGTGCCACTGGGTTGCTGGCTCATGCTGGGCCAGGTACACGGACTGCTGGCTCTGTGCTGCCAGGATTGTAGCGGGCACAGGCACTGTGGCCAGAGTCTACCCCTTTAAGGGCTCGGGGGTGGGGGGGGCGCAGCAGAG